CAGTAAATGGAATAAACGGTCAGAATTCTGACATCAGAGATCTAATTTTCAACACACCATTCCACTTCAGAAGACAATGTGAGACTGAAGAGAACACACAAATGTATCGAAACTAGTTTTGCTGATATCAGACCTCTGACAGTTTGTTCCATTTACTGTGGTTTTTCACTAGGCTTATTTCTTTTCTGTGCATTTGTCTTTAAGGCATGGTTAAAGCCAGTTATGTACAACATGTCATAATGATGCTAAACATGTCACTGTATTGTTGACATGTTTATTACAATGATATTGTGTTGTATTATCTTATAATTAATTAATAGATGATAAATTTCTCATTTTTTACAAATCAGTGATTGGTGAAATGCAAAGTGTTGTTCATGCCTTAATGCAAATTTTTTGCTACCTTGTCCACCATAAAATGGTTCAGAAAAATATGTAGTAAAATATATAAAGTAAACCAGTTTTTAGAATTTGTTCATAAATTTTTAGACTTGTATAGTCATTATGAAGTAAAATGTAGTCTCAGTAAATAAAGAAGTGAATATGATATTAAAATCTACTGACAGTCTCATTTTATGTCTTTATTTTACATAAAAGCAATACTAGTTGTTTAGGTTATTGATCTAAATTTTATTGTCTATAGAAATTAGCAACATTTAAGAGTCAATTATTATATAAAGGTTATTGATTAAACTGTGATAGGTATGATGGAGTTGGCAGATTAAACTGGCCTATGATATGAGCAGGTGCTAGTTTTATAATCCAGTGATTTCTCTTTTCTTTCCAGTTTCACCTCGCCGACAACCTAAAGTTATGAGAGAAGGACATACATCAAAACTTTCTAGGCCAGGTCAGTTGTAGAAATGTGTTAGCCTAACTTAAACTTTCATGTCTGAAACAAAATGTCCTTTAGGATCAAGCTGACTGTTGATACTTAACTGAAAACAAAACAATCTGCAAGAAAATATAATAGTACATTACATTTTATATATGAAACCATGTTTCCAGGCAAATGTTAAGATTCCATAAAATTTGTTTCTTTTACAGAACATAATCCAGTTGTGCAATTTAGTTTTCTCATCATACTATATGGGGGCATCCATAAAGTTTGAATAAATCATATGTATGCTTTTTGAGAAAATATAAGCAGTTTTTTAAATTTTTTCTGCAATTTGTGCATTTTTCGTAAGGTAGAGAAGGAACTATTTTTAATCCAAAACTCACTATCTTGCCCACTCTCATTTACCTTAGGGTCTCTGATCTGTCTGTTTCAAGAATGTGTAATATGACATTCAAGTCGAAAATACAAAGTACTTGAACCTGCTCAGATGTTATTTATATATGTAAGATTTTAATGATTGTTTGAAATTAATGATTCTTTTTAGTCTAAAGTTTAAAAAAATTTTCTTTAAAGATATTTTCATATGATTAAAACATATGTTTTTTTATACATGTTCTCATCAACACTATTGTACATGTATTTGTATTGCATGTTTGAAGAATTATCAAACTTAAAATATACATTGTTTCACCTGTCAGTTAACAATTTGTTTCATGTTTTTTTTGTACTTTACTAAGCTTCTATAGATTTTGTACGAACAGCTTTATACACTGAATTGGATTATAGTAATTGGAGCACTGTGTGCTTGTATATATGTGACTTGTAATTTGGGATTTTCTTTTACAAGTAACTAGAATAAAAACTTCAGAAAACTATTTGAGAAATTAAGATGTACTTCCTCATTGGTAGCATCTGTACCTCGGTTTGAAACATCTGAAAAAGGATCTGCTGTAACAACCCCTCCAGGTGCTAAGTCCCGTCCAGTGCCTCGTCGTCCACCATCATCCATTGTTAATGGACAGGAACCTAAGGTATTGCCAAAACCAACAACAACAGAGAGTACAAAAATGGAAGTGACAAATGGAGAACAATTAGAAAAGGATAGAGATGAAAAAGATGCAGCAAAAGAACTAGTACAGTCAGAACATAAGAAGATTGAAAAATTTTCTCCACAGGATGCAGTTCGTCCTAATTCTCTTCAAGCTGTGAATGGAGATCTTGAATCCAAAAGTAAGTGAAGAGCATGATTTGTTTTAGTAATTGGAATTTCTATGTTTCTTAAGGAAGTTTAAAGATTTTCATTAAGTATTTACATTTGAATATTTTTCTCTCTCTCTTGTAGTTTACCCAAGTTGGAAGTTAGATTAGATTTCAATAATTAAGTCAACCTGCTAGAAAATCCTTGCCCAGTAGAAGAATTAGGTCTTCAAAAAAAAAAAGCTCACTGTTATGCTTTATGTACCAAGTTGTTTAGTTATTAGCATAAACTGAAAATTTAATAATTATAATTATAATAGAACTCTGATTTACATATACTTATCCTATTAAACTTCATGATATTGGAGGAAGTATTTAAGAAAATTGAAGTAAGAGATTTCAGACTTTAGCTTGTGCAAATGATGAACTTGAGGATGGAAGGATAACAAAAAGGACAGAAAGGAATGGGATTGAAAAATATAGGTTATTGTTACATGATAGAGGGTGTCACTGACAGAGCAAGTGATGAAAGGGTACTAGCAGTGATACAGTCTTTGTAGCGCACATAGGAGCTAATGATTTAGGGAAGAAGAGGTTATTGTTAAGTACAAGGTATTAATAAAAGCATTCAAAATAAGATATAGATAAGGGTATAGCATGGGAATAAGATACAGTTAGTTTTAATGGTAGGCTAAAAATTGTTATTATTATAATACTAAAAGTATAAGAAATAAAATGGATGACTTTAGGTTACTGGTCAGAACAGATGATTTTTATATCATGAAAATTACTGAAACATGGCTGAATGGACTGTTTTGATGACAGGAATTTCTTTGAAATACAGGGTTATTATAGGTTGTTTGATGAGGATAGTTCTAAAACGAGGGGGATTAGTGGCCTTATATGTAAAATGAGAATTATAGTCTGTTAAAGTTGAGGATATCAAAGCTAATATCAATGAGATTGAATCTATTTAGGTTTTTGTTAGTGGTTATAAGGGAAGAAGGTTTTTAGTTGGAATTTTTTACAGACCACCAGATGAAGCTATTGAAATTAATGAGAAACTCCACTGTGAGATAAAGAATCTAACTGTTAATGAGATTATAATTATGGGAGATTTTAATTTCAGGCACATAGACTGGGAAATGTTAAAGTCAAATCAAGAAGGAGACAGGTTTTTAGAAACTGTTTGGGATGGTTTTCTTTAACAATTGGTTAGGGAACCTACTAGGAATAGTGCTATTTTAGATTTATTGTTAACTTCTAATAAAGAAATGATTGATAGGGTATAGATTGTAGAAACATCTGGGTGCAATTAGGTTTCAAATTTTGCTGCATATGGAAATAAGGAATAATAGGATTTTAATTCCAAATTTAAAAGAGCAAACTGATAGAATGAAACAAGAATTATCAGCTGTGAATTGCAACTGAATTAGTTGGAGATATTGATCGAATGTAGAAAAATGGATTCCTAAATATTCAAAATAGACATGTTCCTTATAGCAAAAAATGGGGGGCTGCAAATAAAAAAACCAGACTGGCTCACAAAGAATAAAATTAAAGAAAAATTTATAAATATAAGAAGATTAACTTCACTGTAGTGAAGAGATTTGGAAGATTACAGAAGATCAAGAGAGTTGGTCAAACAAGAGATTAGCAAGTCCAAAAAAATACATGAAAAAAGGTTGACTGAAAATGTAAGAATAAATAGTAAGGATTTCTTCAAATATATTAAATGTAAGCAAACTGTTAGGACAGGAATAGGGCCACTGAGGGATGAAAGAATGCTAATATCTGATGATTAGGAGATGGATGGGTTATTAAATTCTATTTTACCTACAATTTTTACTAATGAAGATATAAGCAATAATCTTCATCCTGAACTGTTGCTAGATGGAAACAAGATTGATGTCAGGGTTTTATGTATATGGGCTTGGATTCTTCTACAATAGATGTCTGTGACTTGTTGGCGATAAATTCGGACAATAAACGGACAGCACACAATTCACTTGTTTTAGAATAAGATATTCAAAACAACTCAAACATATGCACAAAAATTATTTACTCTATAGGAAATCCTAGTTTTATCTAACACTCTAAATAATTCTCTTTTCTTATAAAAAGTCCACACAGTCTGATTCAATTACTTTAGAATCCAATTGACACGACGAATTATTTTTCTCTACTCTGGTTTTTACTGTACAATCTGTGATAAATTCACTTACATTACCCCATGGGTTACCACAGTTGCATCCAGAACTTCAAATAATTGTCTCCTTTTCATCAAAGTCCACACAGATAGGTTCAATTACCTTAGAACCCAGTTAGACAAATTATTTTTTCTATCTCTGTTGTTACAATACAGCTGTGAAACACACTATAGAAATCACTCATCAAGGCTAATCACTCACACACCAACTAATTTCACATTTTCTGACTGAACTTCACTTGACTTGCACTTGCTTGGTTGTGTTACAACAGCGGAAGTCACGTGACTCAGGTAACATGTCATGAGTTTCTAGAAGAATCATGACTTTTCTTGGCAACTATTTTAGTATAAAAGCCCAGCAAATAAAACGGAGATGAATAGCAGATTGAAGAGACATATAGAGACAGATAACTGAGTCAAGTGAGTGGTAGTGACCATAAGTAAAGTACATGAATCGTTGTGAATTATAGCGTGTGTTTAAGTTAAAACGACTGTGGAAATTCTGTGTATTGCAAAGTTGTATTGAGAAAGAATAAACTAGTTTTATTTAAAGAAAGGACTTGTATCGCTGAAGTTCCTCGGGAAGAATTTTTACGGGAAATTAACAAACGACCAGAGACGTAACAGTTGCCTATATATATATATATATACATTGCCCAACTGAAGACTGGATTATGTTACGAAGTTTGTCATAACTATTACTTTTAAAATTTTTTTTTTTTAACAAGCTCAGAATTAATGTGATCGTCTTGTTCAATTGTTGGATATACAAGACTGCTTAGCTTAATAGTTATTACTTAGTTTATTTAGTGATGGAATATTTAATGAAAACTTAGTTTTCATAACAAGAGTGTTAAAAGTTAATTGGAAGTTTAAAGAATTGTTACGATATCGAGGTCACGTGACTAGTATCACGCCACGTCATTCACGAACATTCACGTCTTTTCCTTAAATCTCGTGATCCTTCTAGATATAGTGTAGTCTTGTATATATAAGACCGACCACGAAGCGACAGGGAGGTAATGAGTAATTGAATGTATCCGGACAGAATATTGTTGGCCACGTGAGATCAAGGCCGTAACTTTAAATCAACTGTGTTCCAAGAATGCTGCAAGTTGTTTGGCATCCAAAAGACCAGGACAACGGCACTTCACCCACAGTCTGATGGGATGGTAGAAAAGTACAACTGGACACTGGGACAGGAATTGGCAAAGTTTTGTAATAACTGCCAAGATGACTGGGATGTCTTACTCACTCCACTATTGATGGCCTATGGGACAGCAGAGCATGAAACCACTGGATACACTCCAGCAAAGTTGATGTTTGGTCAGACAAAACTTCTGTATGGCTTCTGGTACTCCTTCGTGATCTAACACCTTGATGCTCACAAGGGTTTGCTGAGATGCAGAGTCTATGACAAAGTTGCACCTTTGGCCATCTAGCTTTCCTGTCACATAGACACTGTGTGTGCTTGTCATTTTACACCTAGCTGTTGGGACTTTCATGATGGGAGTTGGTTAGTGTCCCTCAACACCAACCACTACTGGTCTCCTTGAGGCTGACTTGTTGGTAATATTCCTCCTACACTGGCTCCTTAGATGTCCTTGCTCCCCCCAGTTCCAACAGCCTTTCTGGGTAACAGCCCTTCCTGCTG